AATAGAATCCTATTTTCTGAGGCTTATGCAATTAAAACACGACGTATGTGATACATTTTGAAAAGCTGAGGTTTACATTTAATTCACGCTATGATGCAGACACTGAAATGGGCTCTGTAGTGCCTATATACCAGGTTCACCATGAGCCCACTGGCATGTCTGCAGCAATTCATCAAATGAATTAAAAATGGGATCATAAAATAGAAGTGCATTAAAAATAGAAGAAAAAAAAGGTAAAGATAAAAGTAGTAACTGTACTTGTAATAGAATATGTATTACTTTCAATGAATGAAGGAGATTTTTACAATAATGTACATTATTTATTTTGAAACAAAAGAGCAATAGTTAAATGCTTTGTGGGAAATTAAATGTTGAAAACCTAGACAAAGACAAATGTTTCTGGAAAGTTGAGCTTCAGTGAATGACAGACAAACCAGCCCCACATGTAGATTTGTACATTGAAAAAAATACAAGAATAGGAGACATTTTAGCAAGGCAATTAACAAAAATAAAGTAGGGTAGAAGCATTTATTTTTCACCTAATAGTCCTAAACCAATTTAGTAATCTCTTGAGGAACACATACCACTGTTTCATTAATAAAAACACTAGACCATCAAGTTTCAGTCAATCCTGTGCCATTTTCTTCTATTTGAATTGGACTTTGTTATTTAATGAATCCTCTTCCTTGTATGAGTAACCTATCAAGCATGCAGATTTTTCATATTGAGTCATAAAGATCATATAAACACTAGCAGTGAACAAATACAATTTGTCCACAGAGCATATTCAATATCCTTTTCTCTGAGGCATAGAAAAAAAAAATCATTTTTACAGCAATAACTATTACACAAGAAAGGGGAGAGTCCTCAGATACAGAGTGGTTTCTAAAATCTGAAAGGCACTGTAAGTGTAGTTAATGCCGATTTGTGTCTGTTCACTTCAAAAAAAACTTAGTGAGCACTTAGGCTTGCCAGACATAAATTCCTATCTACCAAAAAATGACAATCTTTTTGTCTGCCCCTCTTTCTCTCAGTCATGGCTCTTATATTTCATTCCATGTTCTCCAGAGGATTTTGGTTACTACCTGTTAGGAAACAGTCTTACTTTCTAAATATCAGAGACAAATATGAAAAATTTGAACTCTTCTTACTCAGGAAGTCTCTTTTTTCTGACATCCCTAATAGAAACATGCAGAATAATTTCCTCTATGCAAGTTGGTCTTATTTACCAGTAATGCCTTCCCTTTTCACTAAGTAGCCATCCCTATCATAATTTTTTTTTTAAGAGTACAGGGTTCTTTTATCCAAGAAAAAAAAAAAAAGATTTCATTCATTTATGCATACAAGAACTGGGGTGCAGGTCAGAGGAATGGGGGGAGATGTGGAAGGGAGTGGAGGATTCACCAGAGACAAAGAACAGGTGGATAAATAAACACAGTCTTGTGGGGAGCAGCTGGCAAGACAAGAGAGGTCTGTTACCCCATGTGGGTCAGCTCCTATAGCTTCATAGTGCTGAGACTCAACCCCTTGTACTAACAGGGAAGCCTCCCCTACCATAATTTTTATTTGTTACTCCAAGTTTTAATGATACTTGGCAACCCTGTCAGTAGTTACTATAATTTTTGCTTAGTATCCAGTAAATGCCATAAATTCTTCAGACAAATTTACTGCTTGGGCTCTGCAGTCTCATCTGCTTATCTTTACATTTCCCAAGGATGAGTGGGATGCAAACACAATTATTTGTGGTGTATATAAAGCAGCGGGAGCAAAAAACACAGACCTGGCAAAAATCACTTTGCCATCAATTTAATGATGGCTTTTAGTGGCTCAAAAATAGAACCTTTGATGATTTCTTTCTAGTTCACATTCCTGCCCTTTGCTATATCAGACCGTCTCCTTTATATTTCCTTAAATCATGCACTCCTGAAATTTCAAAAAGAATGCATCTTAATGTTAAAAGAGCAACCTATCAGAATACATTTTCTCTTTCTCGTGAAGGGACAAAGCTACAGGCAAACAGGACTCAGAGTCTGACACAGTGCAGGTGCAGGGTGTGGGCCCGCAGACTGCTCTTCTCCCCTGGTGAGGGCCAGCCAGAGAGGGACTCCAACTCCAGTCAGAACACTGCAGTTTAGAAGGCCTCTGCAGGGGACACAGTACCTCAGGTGCCGGAGTTTCTAGGGGCTCGTTCTCTTCACTGTCACTTGAACTGCTCTCACTCTCTGAGTCCGAGGAGCTGTCGGAGTCGCTGGTGGTCTCAGATTCGGCGCTGCTGGAATTCGTGGAGGCCACTGCTGCTGGCAGCGACTGAGGAGCACTGCAAAGCAACCGACAGTCAGGGCACCAGGTAGGAAGCAGTCTCTGTCGTTACTCATTTCGCTCTATCCACTTTCTGCTACTCAAAAGGAGGGGGCCTCAACATGACCTAATAATAAGTGACCAACTAAGAGACTGATTCACTGTGGCTCAAAGAGCAGTGATTCAAACAGTTCTCTCCATAGATAACTGCTTTAGAGAGGAGTCTGTGAAATTCTGTTCTTGAATTGTATCAGGGCTTGGTAAACAATGGGCTGGCTGCCTCTCTGTCTAAATAAAGTTTTATCAGAACATACCCACACCCATTATTTCATGTATTGACTAAGCTTTTTATCGCACAAACACCGAGTGGAGTAGTCACAACAGAGACAATATGGCCCACAAAGTCTAAAATATTTCCTGCATGACCCTACTATGTTAAACCAAAAGGCTTTATATGAAACCAAAACCAAACAAAGTTCATTTATAAAAGAGCAACCAATACAAAAATCTCCTTTGAGTCTCCTATTAGAACTAACTATATGGAAGTCAAGTACTACTGATTATTAATTAATGGTGCTCCTTTGAAAAGTGGCCTCAGAGGTAGTTCAGTCACTTTGGAGGGCAGAATTCTAAAATGGTTCATATTCTTTCTGAATGGCTTAGGAAGCAGCCCCAAATACCAGAGGAAGTACGGACTGACCACTGCAAGTTTCCGAACCAGGCACAGACTCAGGTTAGTAAGAACACACACTGACTGCACTGCTGGACGCAGAGAATCTCAAAGCACATCTGCAAACATTGCCCTACTGGCATTAGCCAAAGCAGATAACCTTAATCTGCATGTTTCTAAGTGAACCTAAAATAGTTTCTAAATATATTTGTTAATATAAACAAATATATAGAATAACAAAAATATTACTAACCTTACTCTTTAGTAGCATTAAATTAAAATGAACATACATTTAAAATAAGCAGGTGATACTATGACATAATTTCATCCTACAAAGGGCTGTACAAACATTTGATCATTCTCATGCTCCTAAGCTGAAGCAACTGAAGTCAGTAATGATCAGAATAACCTTAGTAATCAGGACATTTAATGTTTTTGTTGCCTCTGATTTATCCCTACTATGCTTTGCTTTTCATCCCCCTCCACTGTTATTTTCTCCACCGTGTTAGGCTACTTTTTATGAGTCCTTATAAACTACCAGAAATTACTTAACAAAATGAGATGCAAACATTCATTGCCTGCATGAGGTAGGATTTTTACTGCTCAGCTTCTCTAGGAAATGGAGGGTGTCTCATGGGAGTAAAACTGCTACAGCTATTTTTAACTTTTTGTTCATGAAGGAACAAACTATTGTCATATTAAATCACCATA